ATGTGGAGATAAAAGGGGTGAAGAGAACCCTGAGATTTTAAAAGGACAAGATAAAGATATAGTAAATGCATAACAAAATTAAAAGTTGTAAGTTGTGTAACATGTATCCATGTATTAAGCAATATATGCTGTGATTTTCTAACTGAATTAACTTTATGGTGGGATTAGGCATTCCACATCTTGATCACTGCCTGATCCTGTAAAAACCTCCATTTTGTTGACTTCCATCTCTGCCCGACTCCCCTAGGACATCGACAGCTTACTAGGTGCCACTCAAAAGCTAGGCTCCTGATGCATTCTTGGACCATATACAAAACAATGGAGGTGAGCAGGCACAAGGGCAAACTGGCACAAAACTGCCCAGCCTGGATTAAGTCCAGTCACAGTGCAAAAATGGGACTGTGTCAATTAGGCGCTGCTCAAAGCAATGTCCCAAATGTCTGGGTTCAATCAAGGGCTTTTCAAACCCAGTACTCTGTTGCTTTTTTGCATTTCTCTTCACAAAAGAAGCCCTCATGACATCAGTTTTAGAAGCAAAGTTCTGATGATACCAGCAGTCCTAAGATTTGTACTTTTTGCTTCATTCTAGGTGATGTCACAAAAGCAGCCTTTTAATAATTTTGATTATTAATAATCATAATCTCCCACACTGTACATACTCCCCAAGTCAAGTATCTGACCACTGGAGGAGCCTGCCTCTGACTTCACCTGAATTTCCCACCTTTTACCACATCTGGAAGAAACCAAAGGCTTTGCCAACCTCACTCCAGCTTCCGCTCAGCTTCAGATCTTGAGGTGTTCCTACAGCATACACTGTTACAGCTCATTTCTCACACCCATTTTGGCTCTATGCAGCTTCCTCTTTTGTTTTGTTTTTTGTGTTTTTTTTAAAGCAGCTTCCTCTTTTGATCTCTCTTTGAGCTATCCCACCAAGGGTCTCTAATGTCACCACACTAGGAGGAGTCATGGTGCCCAGCAACACCTTTCCTGGCACCAACCAAGAGCTTTTAGAAAGTGGGTGGGACCAGATGGGGCTTTTGCCCAGGAGGGCTTCTGACTGGCCACTGCAGATCTGATGGCTGAGCTGACTTCTAAAAAAATATTGCTTAGGGAGCAGCTGCCACCATAGCACAAGAATTTTCATTGAGTGACTGAAGGTAGCCTGTGTATATATACAAGAAAATATTTTATCACAATATGTTCTTTTTTAAAGGTATCCTGTTAAACACAGGTTCTGCCTGAAATCTTGAAAAGTTACTATTAGAGTTAATGTATAACCTCACTCCCTGATGTTTTGTGGTTGGCTCTCCATCCTGCATCAGAATTCCAAAGGCACCCACAGACTCTAAAAGGTTGAGGATCTGCTTGCTATCTTAGTAAACTTCCCACACAGAATGGGCTAGGTAATGAAATTCCTTGCTTTCATTGCTGCTGCCTTTTCCCCCAACATGATCCTTTGAGTTACGTTAGGTCAGCTGGCTGAATGGGCATACAGATATCTTGCATCTACTGTAGCCATTTTGCTGTTTGGTGCTACACGAGTGCTTGACAGCATTCTGACTACATAAGTGTTCCTTGATATTTCATTAAAAATTATTCTGCTGTATTCCTGTTGATTTTTAACACAGATAACAACTTACCTAGTATGTTCAGCGGAAAAATTCTTATCATCAATAACTGCAATCGCCACAAGTTTGCCTAAAACAAGAGAAAGAAGCAACACAATTTCTTTAAATAACATACTTTTTTTCGAAATAGCGTATCTGATTCTTATCCCTAAGAAGGACTTGTCAGCAACAATATATACTTTAAAATTAAATCCATTAAACGTAAAACTCTGCTCAGCTGTAAGCACTAAACATAAAGATCCTGAATTACACTAGGAAAGTGCTCACAGAGAGAAGATTAAAACTTAATCAGACCACTGAAGGAAAGTAATTTTGGTTAGGTAGATAATTTCAGTTCTCCATACTGTACCTGTCATATTTGTGGACCTACATATGGTCTAACATATACATTAAAAAAAAGAAAAGAAAAAAAGAACGTGTTACAGCAGCCCTGGGATTCTTTAGCATTTTAAAATATGGTGAGAACTGCAGAGCTGAAATTGTCAGCCTATGGGGCGATGCCATGAATTGGAGAGGAGTTTAAGCCACAGGTAGTTAGTTTAAGAAGTTTAAATTATATGAGGACAAGTGGAAACCCGTGAGAAACTCACAGATATATTCCCTCACTAATTCTATGTTTGAGACTATGCCCCCCAAAAGGACTCGAAGCACAGTGAATGCTTACCACATCTGTTTCCCTCCATGGCGGGTACAGCTCCTCTTCTGATGGCATGGTGGGCAGTTGTTCCTCTTTCTCGCCACACTACCGTTTATCCTGCCCTCACCATCACTGCACCTGCGTTGCCTGTGCTTGTGAGATTTTAAGGGAATTTAAACCCCCAATGTATTTTTTTTAAGTTGTCAGAGTTTTTGCAAACCGGGGGGGGGGGTTCAACCAAGTTTGCAGAAAAACATGTTTGGGGGAAGTATGCCTCTATCTGCGGAAATAAGTATCCACATATAGGGTACTGTTGGCAATTAGATATATAAATTTTCATCTCATAGGGCAAAGAAAGGTGATGGGTGGCAGCTGTTTCTATTCACACATAGCCTTTTAAGGATCTCAGCCACAATATTAAGAAAACCAAATCCTTTTAAAGTGTGTTAATTTAAACACAGAAATATGTTCCATAAATACCATAATAGTTTCAAGACAGTAACATCTTACCTGTGTCTCCAAGCTCATAGAGTGTAAATCCATCTACATTAAGATATCCCTGGAATCTCTCTCTGTTTATCCAGGATGACAAGTCACCATCTTCATATTCTTTTTTATGTGCACAGAAAGAGGAAGATACGATTATCCATTAATATCGAAAGACACCCTCTTCAAAGCCACAGCCACAGAACTACACACCTTCATAAAAATGGAAATTATGTTCAATCTCTCTCTTTATTCTATGAACTAAGGTAATATAACAAAAGCATACCACACCTCAGAAATTAAATTAAACAATCTATATAAGCTTTCTACTAATTTTATGTACCACACTTTTATAAAAGTAGGAAGCTGATTCCCAGGCTGATAACAGGACAAGCGGGCATGGAAAGAATTAAGAGAAAAAGCTGGATTTGTGGTACTGGGTTGTTCACTACACTCAATATTTCATTTAAGGACAGAGAAGTACACTCCAATGTATTATTTGAGGTATTTCCTTGGGGTCTTGGACTTCCAGAACACTTGTAAGACTCTGGCGGTAACAGTAACAACAACAACTACTACCTAGCTGTGTGGCATATATGAAACACATGACAACATGGTATCATATTTGCATCTCTAAACAGAAAAGGAGAAGAAACACATGTCTTACCAATGCTTACCCCAGTAACTTCTTTAAAGGGCTATGTGAAGATTTCTTACAGAAAAAAATAGAATTGTAATACCTTATATGTTTAGAAGTAAATCCTCCGTGTTTCAGGATCATAGGACTGTACTCTGGTATATGAGTAGTGGGAAGCTCAGAGTTGGGAACATGGAGGGGGTTGCAGCACCCTGTATACCACTACATCACTTCCTGGGAATACCCGGAACTGATGTAGGGTAGCTCTAAGAATTGCTGGAAACTCTATGGTAAACCCACTGAGTTTCCAGCAATTCCTAGACTTACCCTATGTCACTTCTTGGTCTTCCCTGGAAGTGAGGCAGGGGCACAGATGACACTGGCATTGGGGGTTTTCCACCCTTCCACTGCCTCTTGGAGTGATGGCAGGCAAAGAGGGCTGCTGGCAGGAGGTCTCGCACCATAGCAGGAGGCCTGGCAGTCCTAACTATACCCTCAACAAATATGTACGACCCTCAACCTACCATCATATGCAAAGTAAGTTCCATCTTTAAAAACTAGAACAGCTGGCATTTCAGGGAGAGTCACATACTGAAAGAGGAGAAAAAATATTTTAGTGACAAAAAACAAATTGTCCTCATACCTCAGAACTCTACACACATGTGGATTCCAAGATTGTGGGTTGCCAAAAAGCTTTAAGATGCAGACATTCTTAGTATTCATGTTTTTACAGTTCAAGTTATTTCAAAGCATTGTTTCTTCTCACTTTTTCCCCAACTTAATGGCTGCATTCAGCAAAGGAAAAATGCTGCGTACTGCATAAGGAGCTACTTGGTATAAGCAAATGGCAGGTTTTGGAGCCTATGTTGGATGATATACAGCAGATGTCTTTAGAAAGCTGTTGCTCACATGTCTAAAGAAAATTAAATTGAAATTACATTCTAGTACAAGATTAAGGTGCATTTTTCTTGAGAGAAGAAAACTGTTATTTTAAATAAAAAATGTAGGACTGGCAGTTTTATTCTCCACAGAAATAACCTGACTCTGTTTTTAAAGTATTTTAAAAAACTAACAAGAAAGGTGACACAAAGAAAATGATATCTCAAGGTGGCACAGACTGGGCAATCCCTGGAGTTCACAATTACAGCAGCTATTCACACAGAGCACCAAATCGTGAAGGTATAATGAAGTCACTAAAAATACCCATGGCATAGAAACAACTCAGCTACACTGCCAACGAACAAAAATATAATGAGCCATCTTGCCACCTCTGTCTTGAAAGCCTTTGTTAAGTGCTTAACATCAGGGGGGAAAGCACACTGTAGCCATCTTTATGACATAATTGCACTCTTAGCTTAAATCCTGCTGCACCAGGATACAACCAGCCGAGATGTGTTGTTACCTATGTCAGTACAACGGAAGAAATAATGATATTCCATAATAGGAGGCTATTCCAGTGCAAACATGTCCACAACTGGAATGTTAAAAGCAGCTTTTTTTTCTAGTTGGACAAAACAATATTTTAAATTTATAACAGTATTTTTATTAAATGTGTTAAAAAGTCAACATATGCTCATTCCGTTTAAAAATATCTAGTTTTCCAATCATTCTATTCTAAATGTTACAGCTATTCTATTCTGTTCCATATTTATGGACCTCTTCCTCCAAGGGCTGCTCTTTTGAGGTGAATGTCATTCTAAATTGTATCTGCAGTTTTGCTTGCCCTCGTTACAAGCCACTAGCATGTGGAACTTGGCATCAAGATACAGATCAAGAGCTGTCACAACCTAATTTCGTTGATTATTTTAAATGGGTGACTATCAATATTATCAATATTAACTGCATCTTAGTACAGCTTTTCAAATGAAATGCATTGTACACCAACACTGGGTGCCCCTACATAATAAAAAAGTGAGAAGTCTCTTAACTTTAATCAGCAGTAATATAAATAAGAGCCTTCAGCCTATGTCTGCTAAAGCCACACGTAAGGACACCAAGGTGAAGCTCTGTGAATGCTTTCATACACTGACAGCTAATCTCTGTCAGCAGCACACACCTGGACAAATCCAGTTCCTATGTGAAGTATGAAGTTTGCTGTTACCATGCCAATGAAAGGCTCTCCTGGGCTCTTTTACACAGCCTATAATGTGGGTTCTACATTGTTGCAGTTCAAACAGTCTGAACTACCATACACTGAACTATGATCTATGAAGGTAGAGACACTGCCATGATTCTTTTGCTAATTAGTGGCAGGGGAGAAGAAAACAGAGAAGCCTCGTTTTCTTACTGGGAGCCCAAGGGTGAAGCTCATAGACACCATAACATTGTATCAAATAGCAGACGTGGGAAACACAGTTAGGTACACTCATCCATTCTCATCATGCTTTGGCTTCCCATTAAGAACATTAAGCCTACCTATTTCCTCCATCAACCACCAACTGGAAACAGAGACTTGATAGTACCATCCTCACAACAGCTGTAAGCCTAGCCTATCCTCCACACAAGACCAAGCACAGAATCTTTTCAAGCAGGTCACACAGCCTCTGGCAGCAGGGAGGAGGGATTGCCTTCCTGCTGGAGGGGTTTACCTCTTCAGCCCTCGGTACCAGAGGCAACCCCGTCCAGCTTTCTTTTCAGGTATAGAAGACAGAAGTTAGAAGATTGAATGGGTAATAATTAATGAATAATCAAATGAAGACGTATTAATGGTTAGAACGTGACTCTGAGGGAGTTGTATGGTGGGTTTTTTAAGCGGGTAGGATATGGGAATAAGAAAAAAAGGAAAAAGCCTATGAAATAGAGTATCTCTCCCTTATATATCATTCTGTAAGACGCAAACTCACGCAATGCGCACCAACAGTGTATGGACGGTTGAACTGCCCGTCAGGACATTCACCCCCCTTCCATTGGCCGCGTCGCATAGCCCCGACGCACTGACTCCTGCCAAGACGCCCCCAACAAGAGCAAAGGGGAGGGACACTACCGACTCCCGGAACAGCCGCCGCAGCCCCAGCTCAGGCCAACGTGTCCGACGCTCCTGCTTCCGATACAGCCAACCGCTCCAGGTTAAAGAGCCCTACGCTGGTGCCCTGAAGGCTCTGAAACTGCTGATGCTGTGATCACGCTCGCCTGCAGAGATCAGGCCTCTAACGTAGGCTGACTCTCTGTCTCGCGCTCAGAACTGCAATCCCCCAGCACGAGGCGACCGACTGCCCAGGGAGAGAGCTTCCCTGTACCCTGCCGGCATGCTCCGCCTCACCTTGGGGTGCGGAAAGGACACGCTGCGCTTCCCGGGGCTGCCGCGGACAGTTCTTCCGGGAGCCCGTCGGGCCTCTCCCAGCCCTCCTTCCGCTACCCTCACTGGCCTCCGGTTTAAACCCCCTCCCCTTCCCTCTTGGCGGGGAGGCCAAGCGAGCCGCTGGTAGGGGAGGCGGTTGACTCCCCGTCCCCTTCCTTCTCAGCCCCCCCGTCTGCCGGTTTCCGCCACCTCCCCTTCCCTGTCTGTGCCAGTTTGCTCAACCTCTCCTTGCGCCCTGCGGGCGACCCTGCCCGTCTTCGCGGGACGAGGACTCGCGCCGCCAGGGGACGGGGCTGTGGCCACCCACTAGCGCCTGTTGCATTCATACCTGCAACGGGCCTTCCTCCTAGTAAATATATATTGTATAAAATAGTCCTACTAAATATGTACTCAATAAAAAAGCAGGTCACAGAAAATTAAAGATTCAAACTATAAGTGTGCATTTATGTGCATTTGAACTGTGTGTGTCCATTTATGACTTCCTTTTCACTTTGACCAGTGCAGCTTCCATAGGAAATAAAGTAACCCACTTTTAAAATTGACACCATATGCTATCAGCGGTGATTGCTTCACAAAGAGACCACTGACCCAGTAGTAAAACATGTGATTGTTCACTGTTAAATTAAATGTATTCTTAAATAAATTTACCTCAGGTAATACCTCTTCTGAGGCAGAAAAAAAGTATGTATAAACAATTAGTTCGGAAGCAACTTCTATGTATTTTTCCTGTGGAAATACAAATAGATATTTTAAAGCAGCTTGTCAATCTTCATGAACATTCCCAGAAGAACAACATAATTTGTACACTGCTAAGTATTTGTTCTTCTTTAAAAACAAGTCAACGTGACTATGAAGTCTGCCTATGGGAACTAATAAAAAATTCTTTGGACAACCACAATAATGTAACAAACACTTCTATTTTTCCCCCCAGTGAAGGTAGTGTTTTAAGTATAGCACCTTCATGATATGATATTGCAAAGGCATTGCAGGCAAAACAGAAAGCTTCATTCTACCAACAATTTATTAACTGAACACAGAGAACAGAAATCAATGAAAAATAAAATATTTGATATATTTAACTATATTAAAAAGAGTTGGTTTAGTGATCATTAATGTACCTAAAACAAAAAATCAGGACCAACTTGCTAAACTATACATTAAATACATATTTAGACCCTTCAGATCATTACAGGGGGGGAAATAAACCTTGTTTAAAGGCATTAATATCTAGATTTGTTTATCTGAAAGACAAAAATACTGTTCTTATAGAAAGAAAAATACATTCTTAGACCTCTTGGTAGTGCTCAGTACCATCAATCATGGTATCCTTCTTGACCACCTCTAGGACTGACAGGCATTTTTTGCAGTGGTTTTGGTCCTAACTGGAAGGTAGGTCTCTGATGGTGGTGCTGGCGGACTGTTGCTCAGCCTCTTGGGCTCTGGAGTTTTGCATACTTTCATCTTGCCCCTCATATATATTTTTTGCATCTACATGAAAACATTGGTCATCCAGAGATTTGGATTGGGTTGTCACTAACATACAGATGATACTGAGCTCTATCTTGTACTTCCAGTGGCTCACAGGGAGATAGTAAAAACTGTGAATCAGCATCTTTTGCAGTGGTTTTGGTCCTAGCTGGAAGATAGGTAGGTGCTGGTGGACTGTTGCTCAGCCTCTTTGGACTCTGGAGTTTTGCATACTTTCATCATGCCCCTCATTTTTATTTTTATTTTTTTTGCATCTACATGAAAACCCTGGTCATTCAGAGATTTGGATTGGGTTGTCACTAACACAGAGATGATACTGAGCTCTATCTTGTACTTCCAGTGGCTCGCAGGGAGATAGTGGAAACTGTGAATCAGTATCTGAAAGCAGTTTTGAGATTGATGAGGGCTGATGAACTGAAACTTAATCCCAACAAAACAGAGGTACTGCTGGTGGGTGGAAGGATTGACACAGAAATTGAGGCATCTCCTGTTCTACATGGAGTTACACTCCCCCCTATATTAGCAAGTTTATAGCTGAGAAGTGCTGCTAGACCCAGGCCTCCTATTGGTAAACAGGTGGCAACAGTAGCCAGGAACACTTTTCACCAGCTTTGACTAGAGATCTAGACAGCTGTGGTCTTTACTGAGCAAAAAAACAACAACCACGATCTTGCCACCATGGTGCATGCCTTGGTAACATCTACACCAGACTACTGCAATGGGCTCTGTGTGAGACTATCCATGCAGAGTGTCTAGAACCTACAATCCATGCAGAGTGTTTAGAAGCTACAATTAGTACAACAGAATGCTGACTGGGATGGGTGACTGAAAATGGGTAGCCGTGTTAGTCTGTCTGTAGCAGTAGAAAACAGTAAGAGTCCAGTAGCCCCTTAAAGACTAACAAAATTTGTGGTAGGATGTGATCTTTCATGAGTCACTGCTCACTTCTTCAGATACAGCTAGAATGGGAGTCCATCTTTCCTATATATTGGAAAGTGATTTCAGATGCCAAATGACATTAATAGGCAAATGACAATAGCAGGTGTGACTGGATTAAGTGTGCTTCTGACTGGTTGTCACTACAGTCTTGTTCCACCTGTACTGGCTCCTAATTTGCTTCTGGATCCAATTCAAGTTACTAGTGTTGACCTTTTAAAGCTGTCTTGGGACCAGCATACCTTAAATACCACCTACTCTCATAGGCACCTAGTCAACTCTTACAGTCATATTGATAAGCGCGCCTATCATCTGAAGGTAGATGGATGGCAACTCGAAGATGGCCTTCCCAGCTGCGGCACCAAAATGATGAAATTCTCTTCCCAAGGAGATCAGTTTTTCCTCAGTTATCATTCTGTTTCATCAGTGGGTGAAGTTTTTCTGTTTTATGTTCCTGCACTGACCCTTTGTGTTTGCATAAGCCGTTTAATGGTTGTTTTTAAGTTATATGTGTGTGTGCATTTTGAAGGTGGTTTTAGGTTTTTTTAATTGTTCGCTGCCTTGCAGATCCTAAATTGAGTGGAAATGCAGCATAAAAAATATTTTACATAAATAAATTTTTCCCAGATTTTATGCACATAAGAAATCATCCTCAAAAAAGGCTATACTGGAGACTGTAGAACCCACATGGACAAACAACCATATGGGAAGAAGGGATGCAGCAAGGAGGTGAATCAGGTAATATACCCCCCTAAGCATAGATGTCCTTTGGTGTAGTACAACTGGCAAAACTCCTTTATCTATTTAATTCAGCACTAGCACTTTGTATGTTTTTATGTGTATTCTGTTGTGATTTTTAGATACATTTGTTTTATCTGTTTATTATCCTATGTAAGCCACCATGAGCCTGCTTCAGCGGGGAGGGCGGGGTAGAAATTAAATAAATAAATAATAAATAAATAAATTTAAGGAAGAAGTTAACCCAGTTTTCTCTTTGATTTGATGGGAATAAAGCTAACACTGTTCCCTATGTTGTTTAATATGTATGTGAGACTGTAGGTTTGGGGTCAGGCATCATGCTGATGACAGCCACCTCATGTATCACTTTAACAAACTGCCTGAATGTTGCTGTCTCTCTGTCCTTGGGCAATGCCTGGAAGCCACAGCTAACTAGTGAAGGGTGAACCAGCTGAAGCTGAATTCAAGCAAGACTGAGGTGACATTGATTAAGGAGGCAGGTGCTTTGGGTGCGATGCCTTTGGGATTACTAAATCCAGGGGATATTCTTGGACCAGCCTTGAAGACGGAAAAGCAAGTCAGTGCTGCTGAGTGTCTTTTCAACCAATTTAGCTTGAAAGCTACACCCCTTCTTGGACACAGCCACCTGGCCACACTGATCCATGGTACAGTAACCTCAACAGTAGATTACTTCAATGAGTTTTAAGCATGGCTGCCTAGAAAACATCTCATGGAACTAGTGCAGAACACAGCAGCTTGTTTGCTGACAGAAGTCAACCAGAACAGTAATATTTAGTTATGCTAATATTTTCAGTTCAATTTGATCTTGAGAGTCCTGTACAGGCTGGGGCCCACCTCACTGAAGAACTGCCTCTCCACTATGGACCCAGACAGAACTTACTGTGATCCCACTGCTCACAATTCCCTATCTACTCACAATTCTATCCTTAAGATGTCAAAGGCCCAGTTACACCTTTTTTAGGTGGCAGCCTTATGTCTTCAGAATGGGCTGCCCAAGGATGTTCATCCACACACAAACAGATTCTTCTACTCTTTGCTACTTGCATTTGTGTCTCTGTATTAACATAATTCTCCAGTCTCCCATTTCCCTGCAAAAGCCTATCTTTTTCAAATCATATTTTTCTTTCTTTCTATCTCCGTCTCTCTCTTTCTTGTTACAGTCTGGATTGTATTCTGGGATCTTGTATCAGAATCTACCAGTCTAATCTTTCCAAATTTGTTTGCTAGAGTCTTCTTTCTCAAAAATCTTAATGTCAACTTGGCTTTTCTTTTGCATTTCATCAGTATCATAAAATATATCCACTGTCTGCCTCTCAACTTACTGTGAAGTCAGTCATTATGAAGCTGAAATTTTAAGCATATTTATACGTACTTGTCAAAAAGAATTTAGGACTGAGGTCCGGACTGGTAGGGCACCTTCAGGAAGTACACTTCTTTTGTAATGAGCAAAAGGAAAAAAAATATACATTTAGCAAACTTTCAAACCTTTAATGGTGATTCCCCACCAACGTACACAAAAAGTACCCGGTGCCTCTTCTGTACATGTTCAAACATCTGCTGGCTAGGGAGAGTTCGGATAACAGGCCTGAAGAACACGGAAAGATACAGAGCAATGTGAGCAAGGGAAAAAAAAGTTTCCTGACTTCATTTCCTGAGCTCACACTCCAGTACTGATCATGTGCTCCTACAAATTATCTCCTGCTATAGTACTAACAGGATTTTTCAGTTAGAATGTTGTTTGAACTTCAATCTTCTCCTCAATGGCTGGACTAACACTACAACAAAACACTGCAGCTGGATCAATCTATCTAGGTTCTCCGGCAAGTTAAGGTAAAATTACTCTCAATATGGATCCCATGAAAGCTGAACATGAAAGGGATCAAAAAGGTTGTACAGTCATTTTTTAAAGCATCAACTAAATAGCATACATACTAGAATGTTATTCATTGAAAAGCCCCATTTTCATTTAAAATTTGAGCAATTTCAGGTGTCAGATGGAAATGCAAAAGAATTAATACCAGCTGGCTTTATCGAAACCATTAGTATTCTGATTTTCAATAAAGTGCTTTTGTTGACTTAGCAAACTAAGAATTTAAAGAAAATAAATGTTGATAGGTGTTTTTCTAAGACATTAGCCTTGAAGAACTGTTAACAAATGTTACATCATCCTTCCTGCTCATACTAGTTCAGTAACCATATTCTATAGTTGCATCACTACTGGAGTCCAGGTAGAAGCACTTTAAAGACTTAATGAGGAATGTTAAGTGGTAATTTTATCATGTGCACAGGAGTGATTCACCCCAATATTTCCTTCTATGACAGCTGTTTTTTTAAAAAAAAAAAATTATGAACACTTATAGGAATTGATTACAATGAATGCTATGTGTTCCTTAAGTAATTGCTATAATGACCAGAACAGTTCCATGTTAATAACATATTAAGTGGATTGACCTAAGTTTTCTCCTGTTAATGGACTGCAAATAAATAATAAATTTGAAAACATTTAAAGGTTATATTAAATGTTAAATATTAATTATATCTGGTATTTTTAAAAAATACTCTGTAGTAAATTAACAAATCAAACTGTTTATCTAAATAATTATACCCTACTTCTCTCCATAATGGGAATTCAAAGCATCTTACAATGTTGTTCTGCTTTCTTCCAAATGATCACCTTATGAGGTAGGCTATACTGAGCAATTGCCCCAAAATTACCCAGTAAGCTGCCACAACATAGTGGAGATTCAATGTGAGTCTCCCAAATCCTAGTCTGACATTATAACCACTACAACAAGGGTCCCCAACCTCTTTTAGCCTGTGGGTACCCTTTGGAATTCTGACACAAAATGACTGCCAAAGAAGGCAAAGCCAACTTCAAAATGTGACAGAATGAGTCATGTGTAACTCTAATAGTAATTTGTCAACATTTCAGGCAAAACCTCGCTTTAACAGGATGCCGATTAAAACGAGCATATTGTTCAAAAATATTTCTTGCACACACCTCCAGTTCCATCAGTGAAGATCCTTGTGCTGTGGTGGCAGCTGCTGCCAAAGCAACTTTTTGACCAATCATATATCTAATGGCCAGCCTACTTGGAAAAAGTCCCACCTACTTTCTGAAAACATTGGCAGGTGCCAGGAAAAGGGTAATCAGGAGCCATGGCACCCCTGTAGCATACTGTATCAGTCACATTTTAGAGATTCAACATAAGTCATATTCAACCAGGTTTCATCTAGGGATGGGCATAGACTGAGAAATGAACCGCAGTTTGTGGGTCATTTTAAAGTAGTTTGTTTGGTTGCTTTGTTCCCAAATACAAAAATGAACTGCCTTTTTTTCTGTGGAGGTTTGTTTGGTTCATTAGAATGATTTGTCCTCCACACAGCCTGGCACCGATACAATCAATTCCTAGGCAACGCTGGGGGTAGACTTGTGAAGACCCCTAGAAACACCCATAGCAGTTGTCCATAGTTTGATTGGCAGCTCTGGCAGCCAACCATGGAGTTCCTATCCAGCTCTATGGCAGCAGATTGTGTATATACATATACCACACCCTGACTCAGCTGCTTTCACTTTGCAGCAGGAAGAGAGAGGAGTTAGTTATTGTGTGAGAGCGAGTTAAGAAGAACTGTTTGCTGCATGGCTGATTTAAGGGGAGGCTAGAACTGAGCTTTCCTGGGAGCACCTGCTTTGAGGCTATAACTCAGATTTCCCAAATCCAATCTTCACCAAACTTGGAGGGCAGGTGGAGGAGAGCTTGCAGAAGACTCCCTGTGAGTCTGGTGTCTCTAACGTGCGAGGGGGCTGTTCTACTACCTGCCAAACTCACAAAATGAATGAACCACAAACCAGTTTGGGAAATGGGAAAAGTTTGTGAAAGTTCGTGGTTTGTGTAATCAAATTAACCATGAATCACTATTTTCCCAGTACATGCCCATCCCTAGTCTCATCTTATAACACACAAGAGCGAGTTGCTTCAAATTAGATAAATTGTCCTGGCTCCACTGATGGACCTCCTGGTGGCACCTGGTATTTTTGGCCACTGTGTGACAGAGTGTTGGCCTGATCCAACATTGGCTTCTCTTACATTCTTAAAAGTCTGAAGAAAAGTTATGTTGTAAACAAACAGTTCATCAAGAACTGTTGATTAATTTATGTACTGTGTAGGTTTAATCAAAAACCCACTTCTAGCTAGTATCCTGGATTGAAATAAAAGATTAAATCCAACCCTTCTCTCTGACAGCATTACAAGGGGTTGACCTTGGAATAATGCTCATATAGACTAATGAGATCTTAATAAATCAAGCTGCTTTGTAGTGACAAATCCACATACCTAATCAGAACTCTCTTCAGGTAAGAAGAATTGATGAGTTTAGCAATATGAGCAGTTCAAAATACCATAAGAAACTGGAGAGTGCAGAGGAATTCACAAGAATAAGGCTAAAACTGGGAAGGGGAGGTAAGCAGTCTATCAGCTGCAATGAGCTAAAGGGCCCAAACATGCTTGGCAACATTATCATGGCAACATAATATTTTTAAAGTCAAAATATCATTTCATACCATCTCTCTTTTTCACTTTTGTATCTAATAATGAACACAGCTCCCACAGTGCAGATTAAAAAAATCTGCCCAATGGGGCAATGAACAGATAATGAGATTTTTTCTACAAATCTGGGAAATTCCCAACTTTGCTTAAAAATTTGAAAAGTCTTTTTGAGAGAGAGAGAGAATGAGAGAGAGAGAATGAATCTTACCCAACTCCCAAGTTGCTGATGGGGCAAGAAAATGAAGTGGAAGGGAAAGGAGAGTGAGATAGTAGGGAAGAGGACACAACAGCAGCAGCGGAGCAGGAGAGACAGAAAAGAAGAGGAACTGGGCCAGCTGGGAGGTAGGGGAGGGGCTTAGAACAGAACTTCCTTTGTGCCCTTACTACTCCAAACTTGCCCCTCTCTCATTGTTGGACAGATGACAGGGGAATGCTGGCCTTGAAGATGAAAGCATGTCTCACATACTTTCTGCTCTTAGCTCAGCCCCTCCCTATCAGCTGACAGGCAGTGGCTGGGGGAGAGAGGCTTGGACCAGAAAGTGCATCGGGCATTCTTTCTGCTCCAGCTCCATCCCACCCCCATTACCTGGCTGGTGGAGATCACATGGACCAGCAGGAGAGGGGAAAGGGGGGGGAATGGTAATAGACAAGAGAAGTACACTGGAAGAGGCAGGGTGAGAAGGAAGAGAATTCGGTAGTGGGGTAATCAAAAGGACAGGTGGTGTGGACCTGCAGGGGAGAGGGATTTCCCCTCTCATGGCTTCCCATTTGTATTTCCCTAATAACAAATGATACCAGTGAGTACACTGAACTATACCAGTTCTGGGAGCTGACTTGCCCTCATCCTTCTCTTGACCTGCATTTAAGCACAACTCCTCCCCCAAACTGGAGAAAGTGCATAAATACTTACCCTGCTACTCTGTTTGCAAACTCAATGATGTCATCTTTGGTCCTAGATCCTCTATAGTTGTATGCCAAGTCACCCTTCAGCCTAAATAACAGATAGTTAAACATCTTGGTTGGCCATGTCTCAATTTTAATGAAGGCTGGCTGAGTACTACAAGTGTTACTATTTCTTCAGCACATTCAATAAAAGACAAATGCCATCTCATACACAAGAAGTAATCAGTGGCTAAAGACACAAGTAGGGATCAGCTGCATTCTAAAATTTAACAAAAGTAGAATTTTTTTTCAAAACCATTATTGCTTGGTAGGAAGGGGCAGGAAGCAGCAATGCAGCTTTTCACAGGACTAATCAGCTGTTATGTGAGAAGGGAGGGCAGGAGAGGAGAGAACACTGGATGTAATCCAGCAGACATCAGAGGATCAGAACACTTGGTTCCATAAGTTATTGAGCTATGGCAAGGAGCACTTGGTTTGAGCCCAACTCACTCTTGGCTTTTCTATTTGTCAGCTCGGCTAAAGCTATTTTGCAAATACTTGCAGAAGACATTTCAGTAATCAAGCTTTTCATCCTCCACTTTCTTTCCCCTCCACAATAACATATCTGCATAATTCTGGCATCAAGTTAAAAATAGGGTTTTTACCCTAGCCCTAACCAAAATAAAATTGTTCTTGCTCCAAAAGATACACAAAAAGCCAGTGCTATACCCACAGTAAACAACAGAAAAAGGAACTACACCTCCTTGCTGAGGAAATGTACATGAGCAGCGCTGCAGAAGAATACTACCAAGGTCCAGTTCAGAACAGTAGTCTTGGGAACCTAAGGTTTTTTTATAGCATTTATGCAGTAGCATTTTAAGATGCCAGAAGCCATGTTTTACAGGGATTTTACACAGCAAGATATTGCATTTCAAAGAGCTTTTATTACTCATTTCAAATTCACTAAAAGCCCAGAACTCACAAAATGGAGTCTATTATTTAAAATGTATGTGACATCTATTAATCTTTTGTTAACACTTGTAGTTTGCACTTGAGCATACAATATTTCATCTTCCCCCATTTCTCTTTCTCCCAAGCCCTTTTAACCAAACCACAAATTAAAAATGCACACATAAACCTATCAACACAAGAACTCTGCAAACAGCAGGAAAGGGGACTTAGATATAATAGAATGATTTAAGCACTTTAGCATACAAGAATACATGAAGTACAAAACAGCATATTGTGGCTTTACATATTTTAATGCCTCCTGAGTCCGTTACAACCCCAAAAGTGTAGGAGGATTTTTAAAGTATGTAGCAAGATGGTAACAAGCCACCAGCATATTAATATACAACTCCAGAAAGCTAAACTTACAGCTTAATTGTTGGATAGCCTCGAACTCCAAACTCAGATGCAATACCTATAGAAGACAGGAATGTACTTTACAATTGTGCCACAGTTCAAAAAATCCAAAACATTTTACTGATATCCTTTCTGAATGCAAACATAGTACCCAGCTTCAAACATTCGACATTTTAAAACTGCTACTTTTATAATCCTATTTCTAGAGGAAGAAGACATCAGATAAAGTCAATTTTGATATATTCAGTTTATATTTCCTATCAAGATTATATACAGACCAGAGATCTTGCTGGTTCCTTTACTGTGTTGTATAGTTAATTTCCATTGCATTTATATTTTGGATACAGTTAGCTTTTTTAACAATTATGAATGATTGCACAGAGAGCAAGAGACTATTCCTAGAATAGTGTACTTACTAGAATACGAAGTGGCATCCATCTTTCCAACTTTAACTGGAGATCCAATGCTTTTCATTTCTTTACCAACTTCATTCCACACAGGCTCCAGTTTCTTGCAATGACCACACCAAGGTGCATAAAACTGAGAAAAAGCCAAAAATAAGCAGGATGTGGAATCTGTAAACAATCTGTCACACATGCATCTGGAACTTCTATAGACAACAATTTCTTTTACTCTTCTGCAAGTTCAACTTCCCTATTTAAGTACCTAAGAAAAACAACAGAGACTAATAGCATAACCCTTGGCTCCCTAGCAAAGCAGAATGGAAAGGATGGCAATATTAACACAGTTTCATCGAAGGACAGGATTGAGTACCACCTGGGTCGAACACATTTCAGTCATCCTCTACTGCAAGCAGGATAGCCTAATATTCCTGTAACAATTTGTCTGTATCTATTCTTCTGGCAATCATACTGTCCTAAATGTTCTGCACTCAAACCTGGATGTGCACAGAAGCATTTCTGCCTTCCAAATTTATTTAAAAGAGTACCTTATGATATGGTGCAAAAAGATAGCAAAGGTTTCCCTATTCTCTTTTTCTAAACCACTAAGGCTGCAGTCACATACACTAAATAATCCACTTTCAATCCACTTTCCAACTGGATTTTGCCAATTCGCACAGTAAAATCCAGTTGGAAAGTGCACTGAAAGTGGATTATTTAGAGTGTGTGTGTGACTGCGACCTAAATGTGAAATCTACTCCATCAGCCACTTTTCTATATTATATTGCTAACTTCCATAAGCCTGATAATTCCCTTTGCTCTTCACCATACTTTTTCCAGGTCTCTCACCTTTTTAAAAAAAATTGAGAAAATGTTACTTTAATCACACTATAGATACATCTAATATTCTGACTTTCTAATGCCTTAGGGCTCCACATTGCTGCTCTAGAGGATTATTCCTAGTTGCTCCAGGATTATTCCTGGAATAGCACCTAACCTAGTATAATTAGAGCTGGATTATGTTCTCCATCTTAATCTTTAAGTCTCCCACATACAGAAACATTTATCTATTCTTCTGTTGGTTGCCAGTTGGAATTTCCTCATTAGCCTTAGTTGTATTATACCCGAAAAACTCATTTTGTAGGAATAACCCTTAAAATATATACAGATCAAAGAACACTTATAAATACACAAAACAATTAACACTATTTGTACAAAAAATTACAACCAGCTAAAATAAATGCATACTGTTTCATATACATAAATCTTCTAAAATATTGCCTTTTATTATCAAACTATTATGCTCAAGGAGCATTTCAGAATGCAGTTACCAATTTCATTATTTCTTTTACAATAAGCAACTTAAATTTCTAGATCACCACAATTAAGACAGTGCACCCACCCTACAATGTCAGATTTCTCTACCGTTCAAAAGGACATCACTACATTTAGCATACAGTAAGAAGAATTTGTAGTTGTATTTTTAAAGCTTTCCCAGAGAGCTAATATAAACATGGTTGAACTGCATATTTTTAAGCAAGTCTTGGATCTTCATACTCACATCTACAAGCCAAATGTCATTTTTACGGTTTTCTTTAAACCTTTAAAAAAATAAAAATCCAATGAAATATGTATAACACTGGAGTGTTTCTAGCGGAGATGGACTTTGTTTATAAGAGACAGAACACAGTTTCCATACTGCTGATGACCCTCATATATCTCACTGCTGAAAAGATACCAATAATAATACAATGTTAATATTTTATGGTGCCTAAATTGAAAACAGGTACTTATGCATAGTCCCATGTTCATTTTAGCCACAATGATAATTTTAAAAAATTGACATCCACTTTTAATTAAGGAACAATGAAAGAAAAAATGATACTAAGCAGGAGATCAGCCCAAAAATAACATCACAATAACATTAATCAAATAAAGAGGACTTAGGCTAGAAGAGATCTAACCGAGTTGGTCTCAGAGGGCACTGCTTTCCAAGCATATAATGTTTCAAAAATCAAATGATTAAAGATGAAAAATAGTTTGCCAAAGTGTATCTTTCTACCACCCACATATAAATCAAATCAGAGAGCAATTCAACTACCATATTCTTATTTTATTGATGTATTCATGTAGCTTTCAGCATCCACCTCTTCTATTCTTTAACTGATTCTAAGAACAAATTCATACGTTACACTACATTGTTAGTATATATTGTTGTATATATGTAAAAAATGGATTGTATGAACATAACAATGCATGACACAAGTCAATTACAGGGGAACTGAAACTGATCAACCCACCACCAGCACCCAACATATACACAATGTTTATACACCTAATGGCATATACTACTACATAAGATGTGAGATGGTTCCAACTGCAGATAATTCAGACATATCTTCATTAGAAACACACAAGAAAACTATGTGTATGCCAAATTCTTTACAACAACAATGCAGAGCAACAAGGTGTACTTTTGATGCTTTAATATTTCTGCAGTGTAACATAGTACTAGAAGGCAGGAGTTTGATACCACAATTTCAGTCATATCCTATGAGACTAACTGATCAGGGAATCCACAAAGCCATGGAGTTTTCCTTCAAGGATTGCTACTCACACAGCAGCGTTTCTAAGAAACATACCCAGGGCTTAACTGAAACATTTTAGGTCCATCAAACAAGCACAGGATATTGAACCCAATAACTACAGTTTTCTTTTGGAAAATCAAAGTACGTTTCTAAGCACTGTATGTCTGGGCAATAGTTGTAAAAATTTTGGATATTTTAAGGCCACAAAACTTTTTAAAAATCAGAAAAACAAATAAGTTGTATTTAGTCATCAAGCTAAAACTTAATTTGTTTCTTAACAATACCTTACAATTGCTAAAGTGTATTACACAATGTGTGTTAAAAGCATCCTGGGTTTCAGTGTCATAATAACAACAGAAGAGGAAGTGAGCTATCTGGAATCTAGTGTAGAGAAATCCAGGTTATTCTAGAGATCTGGACACACAGACTTAAGCCAGTATGTTAATAACACCTTGCTTAATTTCTCTTTTCCCAGTACATCAGATTTAGCAGGTCTTTACCAGGAATACTGTCTGAAATCAGCAGTAATTGAGTAGATGAAGATGCTGCCGCCACCTACCATGTGGAAACGGCCTGTTGAAGCTTGTTGAGGTAAATAACATCACCTGATAAATAACATCCCATTAAACAATATCCCTCTAATAACATCCCATTAAATAAAATCCCTCTTTTAAAGGGACAGAACATTTTTCTCAATCAGTTGGGAACTCCATCTATAACTTAGACGCAACATTAAACTGGCTTAATAGAACAGAGAAAAAGTTGCATTTGGTATGGATGTATCTGAGCGCCTTGGTCCAAAGAAAACTTGTCAAGGCCTCTGTTAGCACAGTTCTCTTATTTGTGGAGCACCCAATGTTCCATGGGACTGCTCAGGGAAGGGGAAGGCAGGAAAAACGCACCTCTGCAAACTTCTTCCACTTGTAGGAGTTTGGATACAACTCATTGCCTTTTAAGCTTCTATTTTATTGTTTAACCAACACTGTGAAAATTGGTGAAAGCCAATACTTCAACAGCTTGTAAAATAAGCATAAAATTGTTTGGGACTATTTTGTTTCAGTAGATGTAATCAAGAAAGTTAGAGACGGAGACAAGACACTAAGTGTTAACAGGGAAATAAAGGAATTATCACACTATTTTTAGACACCTGTGACCAGTTTTCCCTCTAAACTGAGTTAGTGTGAGCTAGCTCACAGTTTTTTAGCCTCTGGCTCACACATTTTTGTCTTAGCTCAGGAAGGAGGGCTCCAGAGCAAACTAATTGATGCAGGAGCCAAATCTCCCGCTCACAACTTTAATGCCAAGAGCTCACAAAGTAGAATTTTAGCTCACAAGACTCCACAGCTTAGAGGGAGCATTGCCTGTGACTACTCAATGGACTGCATACAAGTTCAAATTAATAATTTGTGTAGGAGCCCCTAGGTATGCTCTTGGGAGTTTCAGTACCCACTGCACAAAAGGCCAAAATGTGCAAAGTATGTGAACAGGACCCCAGGCCCATTCTGCCCCATGCAGAGGTATTAGGAAGAAATCCTAAACAGGTCTTCTTGGAAGTAAGCCCCATTTTATTCAATGGGGCTTACTCCCAGTAAAGAATTACCCAGACTGCAGCCTTAGTAAACTACCATATACTTGCATATAAAACACCTCTCATTAAAACTATGTACAGAAAACACTCCTTTAGATAATAAATGCAAACAAGCACTTAATCCAGTGATCATCAACCCACAATAAGTCATAGTCCTATCAAGCTATGTCAAACTGGTTTTTGGAAGGACCTGCTGCTAGAACACATGCAAGGACTTCTGCCTCTCTTTGTATGCACACAGAGGACCAGCAGGATCATTCAGTGCTAAAGATTCTTTTCAACAGTGACAGGTTTGCGGCCCCTTTCTCCACAAAAGCTCTCCTCTGCCTTCTTTCTCCTCCCCCTGCCCCACAGCTAGCCTATCCTCCAATGTTCCATATATGTTACTACCAGCAACATCACAAAACTGCCTTCTCCTCTGTTACCTGACTTCCTGTAATGTGCTTGCAGCTCAGTAGGTGCCCTGCTGCTGCCTGTGCATTAAAAAAAATGAGAGCCAAGACTGGAAAGGTTGAACACACTGACTTGTGAAAAAATTCAAAAAAAAAAGCATACTTACGAGTCATCTAAGTCTTCCACAAAAGACGCATTTACAGCTAGGATAAATGCAGCAACTGCCCAGGATAAGGGAGGAACAGGAGAGAAAAAGAAAAAGAAATCCTTGTCTATAACATACAACAAAGCATACAGTGCTTGTTCATCTCTTATCTGATCCATCCTCACAACCCCCAGAATTAGCTTCCACACAGTACCGCTAAGTAGATGCTCTCTCCAACTCAATGACTTCTAATGCACCTCAAAATAAAGTCCATGTTTCTATACTGCAGGAGCCTGACCTAGATAGCCCAGCCTAGCCTGATCTCGTCAGATCTCAAAAGCTAAGCGGGGTCAGGCTTGGTTAGTATTTGGATAGGAGATCACCAAAGAAGCCCACAGTTGTGACACAGGGTTGCTATGCAGAGGCAGGCAACAGCAATCCACCTCTGAATGTCTCTTGCTGTGAAAACTCTACAGCTGACATCAGTCAGTTGTAACTTGGTAGCAAAAAAAAACCCTTCAGGAGAGACATTGGTCTTTTGAGGCATCACTCTACTGGAAGAACTCAGCCTTTGCTCCAATTCATTGTTACTCAAGCTCACTTCCTGCAGCCCTAGTCCACACACTCAATTATTTCCCCCTCGCTTTCTTCAGCCATGTAAGGTGTTTTCCCCCCAAATAATCTTTTGGAAAATGGCTCTTGGTACGGTTTTCTTAAAAAAATATTTTTCACTGATTGAAGGACGTTTCTATTTTCTTTGACACTGTTTTTTTCCCTCTCATGCAGAACAATTCAGACTTCAGCAGAGCTGTGTTTGCATAGACTTACATCCCACCTCCCAAGCAGTGTGACAAATTGCTGTGTCACAAATGGTATCATAAATGGTACAAGAGGTACACTTTCCAAATTCCAGTCTTCTGGAATATTGCAGAAACAATACAGATTCTTTTATCCTTAAGAGATGAATTTTTTAAAGTTGCAGTGGACCATGTGTATTGGTATTGAATTTATTAAGTAAGGCAAGAATGGTATTTGTTCATCACAGGACATCTCAATGTATTTCAAGTATGAACAGTGAATAAAACTAGGGGATATCATGAAACATGGTAAAGAAATGAGTCACAGGAAACATCGTTGGTGTTCTACATTTCTTATATCAAAAATGGCCTTGGTTAATAATGATTATACACTGTTATTATTTGTATTTATTTACATAGTGTGTGCCTCCTCTCTAGAACTCACTTTATATGTATTTATGCACTTTTACTTGTCAAAACTCTGCTTTCTAAGCTTTCAAAAATAAAAATACAGCCTCTACATTACTTACCCATATTGCAGGTTGGGTAATAGAGAGACCATTAACCTCACACTGTTTGGGCAGAGGTAATAACAAGGCTAATAAATAATGGCTTATGACAACTCTACTGTCTTTGAAGTGAAAATCCGAGATGACGTGCACTATAACTCTGTTATTACACAAGGAGGAAACCAAGTAGGAGGAGAGTATAACAAGATTAACATATAGCTCCCTAATCTGGATAGCCCAGGCAAGCCCGATCTTGGAAGTTAAGCAAAGCCAACCCTGGCAAGTACTTGGATGGGAGACCTCCTTGGAATACCAGCAGTCAGGAGGCAGGGACAGGCTTTATTCAGTCACCTCTTTGAATATCCTCCAAGTCCCCAGTAGGGGTCCATCACCAGAGGTCGCCATGACTCCTAGGTGCACACACACCCGCAGGTACACATGCACATATGAAGAATACAAAACAAACAAAAAATATTAATATATAGCCCACCCCCACATGTTGCATATATGTGCATGGGAATTCACAATCTCCCTGTTTAATGACCTCCACGTATCAAACTAAGACCCGCAGTAAACAAGTCTCTCCTACAAAGGCACTGTCAACAAAAGAGTACAAAAAGTTTTGAGTACCATCCAAAGAAACGGATGACCAAGACCTACCAGTTCATAACCAATGCTGATTCAGTTAAAAGTGGCATTAAAGCATCTTTTCATGCACAGCTAAAAATATACTCCCGGCAGCTTGAGGACACTTAAACGGATCTTGAGTTTATCATCATTATCAATCTCACCAGTGAATTGTGACTTGGGGAATTCACTAAATAGTGCTTTGAAATGCTGCACCTCACACCTGCTTCCTTGCTAGCTCTTTGCTAACTCCCCGCTCCCATCACATACAGACATCATCACGGGCTACGACACGGACAAATCTAAAGAAGCTGCTTCTCCAAGCCGCCCCCCCCCCAAAGGGTAGAGGTCTCCAGCAAGCTACACCTTCTCCCCCCCCCCCCAGGTCAAGTCGGAAACCAAGCGCCCCCGCCCACCTCAACCATCCGCTCCACTGCACACACCCCTCCCCCCCGCAGGGCTGCTCTCATCCCGCCGACCCAACGCCGCCGCCTCCGTTTCCCCTCCCCGCCCATACCAGTTGCCCACAAAAGGCTACGCCGCGCTCTTTCCGTGGCTACCATACTGGCAGGAACCGGCACCGCCAGCCAGCGACCCTCCGGAAGGGGAAACAGCCCTCTAACCCCGCCCCCCCGAACAGCGCAGGCGCTCCGGCCGGTGAAGGGGGAGTAGTTGCTAAGCAACGGACTCGCTGTCAGTAATCCCTGCCTTGCTCTCGCTTGGAGGCAAGGAGGAGGCAGCGGGTTCCCCACTCCACCGGCTCCTTCCGTAGACCGCAAACTGGGGGGGGGTGGAGGGGGGGGAAACGGCACGGGGAAAGGGCCACAGGAAGGCGGGAGCGCCTGCCGGGCCAGCCTGGAGAGCAAGTGATTCGCGAAGGCGGCCGGACAGGCCCTTCTCTCCGTGGTAGAGGCGAGTGCGGCCCCCGGTCCGTGCCAGAGTGAGGCAGGGCTGCGCTGTCCCACTTCTCACTCGAGCGGGGGCAGCGACCTGCCGGCCCCTCTTTTGAGGCTGGAGGGGGGGGTTGGCAGTAGGGATCCCTGGGTCTGCGTGGCCCCCGGGAGGGGGGAGAGCGGCTCGGCGCATTTGGACCTGACTGCAAAGTCATCAGTAAAAAACGTTATCTCTTTGCTTGTCAGTAAGTTGCTGAGGCTGCAGTGTCGTCAGAGGGTCTGGGTGAAATCAGTGAGTGTTGCTTTGGAAGAGAAAGCATGTATAGGAGTAGGCTGGAAATTGGTTTTAAACATCATTCCCATATACTTGAAAGGAAGAGCAGAGTGAGATAAAGTGGACAACGTGTGTACGGTCAGAAGAAGAAGAGTACTTTTCTCTGCCTTATCTTATCACTTTTCTCTAACAAGTGTCCAAAAGTGCCTCATCCGGGGCAAGAACTTTTGGTGCAAGGGAAGTGTGTTTGCCAGACAAAGTTACAAAATACCAGAGGGAGTCTAAAAACTCACCCTAGTCTTGATAGGTTGCCACCAGGTCTTTCAATCTATCTCAGCAGCCCAGGAGAAAAAGCCCCAAACTCCCAGCTTCTCAGGGAACTTAACAAGAAAAGCCAGCCCTGCAGAGTGGGACTGCAGACTGAGTTTCCAAGACAAAACAGTTAACAGGTAGGTAGTCAAGAGTCAAGGCTCTGGGTTAGCCTTTGAGGTTAATTGAAGGCAAAAACCACAGCAGAGTAAAAATATAATTATTTATTTATTATTTTTTAAGGTGCAAAAATATACAAAAACAAGGCTAGACAGTGAAGAAATAAAATAACCAAACCTAAGCTTTTCCAGCATAACTAAACACATAAAGACACCTCCTCCCCACGTTATCTGGCCCGTGTGACCGGGGTCAATGTTCAGCAGAGGCAGTAAGTTCCAGCAAGACAAGATGTTCACAACTTAGCCAGTCCAGGCAGAAATCAGACGGGAAGCCATGTGCTCTGGGACTATTGACAAAGCCATGCCAAATAGTCTCCAAGTTCCACCGTCACAGTGTGAATAGTAACTAGATGTATAGGGAAAGGGTCTCTGACCAACCCTAGGCCTTTGAACCAATCAGAAACCCAAGAGGTGATGTAACTCTCTCTGTTATTAGGCACATGACACCCCTAGATGGACAAGAGCAAGAGGGGAGAGAAACAAAACTGTCTGCAGCTAGGTCCAGCCCACCCCCACACGGGTGTCGGTAGCTCAATTGCTTGGAATGGGCTAATTGGGAGCTCCAAGGCAGTTGGTACCATCCACAGCTGAAAACAATTTAGCAAGGTCACAGCACTCTCTGCTGTCTCTGTCTCTGGGAATGTTTTGGTAGGCCTCTTTGCAGCCTGAACCAAAGATTTCACTTTGCAAACAGAACAAGGAACCATTTTTCTTTACATTAAGGAATCTCACAGTGGCCTACAGTCTCCTTCCCTTCCTCTCCCCACAACAGTCATTTTATGAAGTAGGTGGGGCTGACAGAGTTCTGAGAGAACTGTGACTGACTCAAGGTCACCCAGTGGGTTTCATGTGGAGGACTGGGGAATCAAACCTAGTTCTCCAGATTAGAGTGTGCGGCTCTTAACCACTATACCATAGAAGACAACTACTCTTAGGAGTCAAAGGCCACTGTATTTCTTCTGTATTTTCTTTTTAGTTTTTGTAAATAGATAAACAAATTTGTTGCTTATTTTATGGCTTTTATAACCCCACTGTTCATAATCTTTCCCTTGTGTGAGTGTATATACAGACAGCATCAGCCAAATGAAGTTTAATTTCATACATCTGATTAAATGATCTGCAGCCCAGGCAAACTTTACTTACTACATTTTTATCCAGCCCTTCTTCCAAGAAGTTCAGTCTGGGATACATCTGCCTTCCTCTTCTATTTTACCCTCACAACAAACCTTCAAGGTAGACTAGGCTGAGTGTGTCTCAGTCAGTCAGCAAACCTGGAAGACCCAAGTTTGAACCCACGCTCTGCCATGGAAGCTGGCTGGGTGACCTTGGGCCCGTCACACACTCTCAGGAAAACAAAGCAAGCTACTTTGAGTCACTGTTGGGAAAAAGACTAGTATAAATGAATAAATAAAGTCGGCTGTCCAGAGGGGTAATTGCAGGAGGACTGATACACATGGCTTGTTTAAAAGTATCTACTCATTGCCCTCTGAAGGCAAATTGGAATAATTTCTGTACATAGGTGAATTCCTTCTACCCTTTCAATGAACCCTTTCCTTTTCAACCTTTTTTTCCCTTTTTTCCCTTCTATCTACTGTTTCAGTCCACTGAGCCCCATGAAGTTTTGTTTTGCTTTGAGGATTAACAGGCCCCCAGGAACAGCAAAGTGGGTAAAGTGGTGGTCTGCCATGAGAGGGGGAAATTGGCAGAAACCACCACCCCTTTGCACCACATGGTTGGATGCATGCTTCTGTCTACTTTTCTCACTGGATACCTTGTGTCAAGGAAAGGTATATTAACGTGTGGTGATTGCTCACTTATTTGAACCACTGAGTTTGGTTGTGTACAGGATTAGCCACCCAGGCCAGTCCAGGAATGGGAGGGAACCCTGTACTTTTTCAGTACATTAAACGACAAACCCAGAGGTAGGCTATACCCTCTCAGGTTTTCAGAATAATATGCCACCAGAACCTCTTTTCACTAGTCCCTGCCTTTCCTAAGGGAGAGATTCCAAACCCTTAGTTGGCATCTGGAACAGAACACACTAGCAAATCAATCTAGAGATGCACACTTTTACTCTCCAATGGTAGCGTATCTGGGGAGCGTTTAGGCCACAGGACTTGGAATCCAAGTTACAACATCATAGACAAGTTAGAAATAAGCAGGAGGACCTTTATTCAGTACAGAGCACAGCAACAGACTATAAAAAATTACAAAAATAACAAAGGTTAGGGCTGTTTGCCTTAACTAAACATTAATGTACATCGTTACCAAGGTCAGGATAGCATCCAAGAGTTCAAGATTGTCCATGGTGATAATCCAGGTAGCACCAAGGGCTTTTGAGTAGGAATCCCATCTCTGCACACCATGTGCTCCAAGTCACAAAGCAGGTCTTTGAGGGACAGCATTTCAGGTGTCATAAAACAGACTCTGACAAGAAGAGGAAGGGAGAGCTAAAAAAAAAAGCTCACTTCCCATAGGGATCAGAACTATTATAGTCCAATTCCGGTCACAAATTAGATGTGGCTATTAGCCAATTGCGAGTGGGCATGGGTGTACCCAATTGTTGGTTGTCATAGTTGCATGTGGGGATAGGCTAGAAGTTTGGAGCCCCTCCTGCAAGCAATTGACCTAGTTTCCAGGTACTTCATGGCCTGCGTGACTTCTCATGTGGGCCAGAGAGTGTAGCCATGAGGTCTGACTTTTGGCATGAAAGTGAAAGAATGTGGGTTTATGGCATGGCTATTGAGGCCATGTGGCCCCACCATTTGGCTTGCAACAGGAAACAAGACATAGCATGTTATCAGAAAGACATCACAGGAGAAGGCATGAGACTTTTAGAAATCAATATTTCTATACAGGTTGTACTGAACCAGCTGTCAAGGCACATCAGAGATAACCTATGGTTGCCAGTCTTTTTCCATTGGAAATACTGCAAACTTAAATAGCTGCATAATAGGCATGAAACTCAATAGGGGACCTTTTTTACCACCACAACTGTATGCCAGGAAATTCTCCTGTTAAATGTTTGCAAATATTTCAACCTGCACCAAAAGTATTTATTTGTTTACACATCCCTCTCTCACTGAGACTCAAGGCAGATTACAAAATATAAAAACAACTCAATCAGATGTCATACATAAGATGTCCAATGAATAGTACTAAGATTTTTTAAAAATTGGAAAACAATGTAGACTTTTAAAAAACCATGTTAACCTATGACAAAATCTACAAAATGGATCAGAAAGGCTTCCCATCAGTAAAACAACAGCTAATCAATGTAAGGCTATGATCCCAAATATACATACTTGGATGTAAATCTCATTTGGAATCATAATACCTATTTCTTAATAAATAGGCTTACATTGAACTATTAATGTGAAATGCACAAATGCTGTTTGGTAAGGCTAATGTAACAGAATGTGCTCCATTATAATACAGTTCTTCCTCTTCTTCATCCACCCAAATATTTTCTGATGCAGATATTGCTTTCTGTGTATATTAAAGCTCAGTTTGCAAAAGTCATTGATGCTTCAGAATAATGCTCTGCACAGGACTCATCTCCCCTTCCAATATTTTTCAATCTAAAAGTTCCCCACACCATGTTATACTGCTCAAAGTCTCATATAACAGCAGTTCTTAACCTAATCACTAATGAAATTTGATCATAAATTGTACCTCTAGTTTTACTGCTTTGCTTCTTGATTCATAATGTTAGAAGGACATCTTGTGGTATTAGTTGGTATAATTTCCCTTTCACACCCACATACTCCAACCCCCCACTATTTTCTTGCTATTAATTATTTTGTCACCAGTCAGTACCACTAACAGTGGACCCTTTTGATGTTTGAGTTTTTGCTCTTGGGAATGCTTTCACAAGTCAGTCACCAGAAGAATTTCCTGTGACATGACAGGAAGCC